TCCGAAAGAATTCCAGTCAGCAAATTTAAATTTTCGCCAGTGCTGTGGCGCTTCAATCTTTGGCTATGTCTTGGGCTACTCAAATATTTTACGTTTTTGATATTAAATTAACATCTGAAGTATAATTTTTTATTGTTTTTATATTTTTCAATATATTTATTTTTTGTACAAAATAAAAAAATGATTTTTAACGATACAATAGTTTTTGTTAGGCTTAATATCGACGAAAATTCAACACAAAGCGACACGAAACGGAGAAAAATTTCAACATCAGATACGTTAAACTATTTTTTCATACATAAATCGGTTATCTGAAATATCAGTTATACGAACAACCCCAGTCCCCAATTGATTCAGAAAATCGACGCTCTACTGTATTAAGTTTTATATACAATATTTTAATTTCTGCCAATGTTAAACAAGTACTCAAAACAATTTTTTTAATAATAAAATTATTTTCATAAAAAGCCATCTTTATTGGTTTTGTTATATTGATATATCTGATAGAATATTCATTTAAAATTAATAACAGCAAAAGTGACAAAACTATTTTTGATTATTTACATATTTTAAAAATAAATATACAATTAATATTTAAATTTTGAACATTTTTATACCATTTTGTATGTATATTGTTTAATAACAATAAATTTTTTGGGAATGGGCTCCCAGACCCTCTTTTTATGGAGTATTACATAACCCCCAGATCTCTGATAATGCCATCCCAAAATTTTCTGGAGCCACCTGTACTATACTTGGTCTAGCTACACTCTTAAAGCATTTTTGCTCCAGATATATTAACAGCATATAAAATGTAATTTAAATAAATTTAAATTAATAAATTTAATCACTTTTTTAAAGTTTGATGCTAATCACCACCATCGGTCTCCTCTACCTGCTACGACGAGCAGGAACAAGGTCCGGGGGGGGATTAGCGTGCATATGGCATATCGCACTTCGGTCCAAACCTCATTAGTAACGATATCGCCTCTGCAATAAATTTAAAGTAATTTATAATTTTTCTGTGTAATAATTTAAACTTGTGTACCAATTGTGTACCAACTTGTTATAAAATATAACATTGAACTATAATGTTAGTGTTTTAAAGAGAGATTTGCACAATTAAGAAGCTTGAAAAACTTTAATTTTTAAGAAAGATGAACATTTTTAGAGCTTTTTACACTTCCATTTTCAGATCTGCTCTCTAGAAAGAAAGAAAATCCTGAAGTAAACAATTAGAATTAAACATTTCTTTTAAATTCTAAGAATATTCCCAAATTTTAAAATTATTTACATACATATTCCTACATATTCCCAAATTTTAAAATAAATTGCTTTGACCAACAGACAGTGACTTGTGTCTAGTATTGGAATAAAACCTGAAAATAATAATGAATTTTATGATTCAGAATGAATCCTTTACATAAAGATAAATCAGTTTTCTGATTATAATTTGCATAAATGAAAATATTGATTCAATTTTTAGCAGTTGTCTGTTATATAGTAAGGTTTTGTCCTTAAATATTACAATGAAATAATGTTAATAAAATTGCTGGTACTTAATTTTATAAATTTATAAAGACAATGAAATATTTTACAAAATATTAATCTTAAAGACCAGTTTGGTGTATTTCAAATTCTCTAAAAAAAAAAGATGAAAAACTGAAATTTTTAGAATAAGTAAAATGATGTAATTTGTTTAATCACTGAGTTAGTTGTCCCTATTGTTCACATTGATGAAAAACTGACCTTTCATATGTTTCCAGCAATGCCATCGGTATAGATGAAAAGCAGCAAACGTTTTCAGCCTCGTTCAGGGGCTAGCATCAGGCTTCTATAGAATATTTTATCAATTTGTGCAGTAGTTCTAAGTTTAAAGAATAAATTTTTATTCCTATTGTTACATAGTATTCTACAGAGAGATAGTTGAAGCTTGTTGGAAATTATAACTCCATGTTTTTTGTAAGCTTGGGTAAGTCATTTTGAGAACTATATTCAGTTAGTTTCAATTTAAGTGGGCATTTTAAAATAGATATTTTTAACAAATGACTTATTATAGTTAATTTTTTTGCTTAAAAAAGCTGATTTTGGCATTTTTATTAATTTGTTACTAAAACTTAAGATACTTTAACCTCATATAATTGTTACCTCAACTACTACAAATACTACTCATTTTATGAAACTTTTCCAGATATGACAAATTATTTAGTGAACTGCAATTTGAAAAAATTGTAGTTCTATAAATTTCCACTGTCGTTCATCCATCTATCCCTCCAATTGTCTGTCTTTCCTTAATCTCTAGAATGGAGTTAGATAGATGAAAGATGAGACCAGATATGGAAGCCATAGGGCAGAAAGTTCCAATTAACTTTATGCAAACTTCCAATACAAACCAGAAGTCATGTTGTTATTTTAATTCAAAAACTATTTCCTGTAAAGTGTTAGCTAGATAACCTGCATGATTTTATTGTTAAAAGAAAAATGTGATGTACAGGAGCAAGCCACTACTAATTTGAGGTGGAGAACATATATTTTTAAATTAAATAAATTAAAAATATGATTAAAACTTGCACCTCTGCATTGTGACAATGTCACAATAAATATTTGCTCAAATGACTCACTAAAACCTTTTTGATTATCCAGTAAAAACATTTGAGATAACAAACATTTTCAATCTTAAATATTGGTCTTCATCAGGTTTACAATTACTGAGATTCTAATAACATTTTCATGATATGATTTAAACATTTAGAAGTTTTAGAATCTTTCGTACAAAACTGTCGTGTGTGTTTGTTGCCATGGATGCAGACGTAATGTTGCCATAGACATCATGCAACATACAAATGAAAGTAAATGTTCATACTAAATACACTAATATATCAGGTGTGTATTATAAACACATACAATGTAATGGATGTGTGAGTTAAACCGTGTTGTGGGAGTTGTCACATTCATACCCGAACCTCCAAGCATGAGATATATTAATAGCATCCTTGGAATTGATGCAGTTAGTATGTAATCTGGTCTTACATATTTCAAGGGTTTCTAGAGATTGTAAGTGTTCCAAATGGTTTGAGAGAATGATCAGTTTGGCATTGTTAAGGTCGGCACTTATGCCAGGTGTTGAGGCATAAGTGGATAGGGCGGTATTATCTTTGTTGTGATCGATATTGTGTGTGTTCACACAGGTGCCTGTCGAGAGATTGTTTCGTTGACCCAACATACACAAGCTCTCTTTGAAACCTGTCATCCCATAGAGGTATAGAGTATACCCCTGGAGCAAGTTTTTTGTCTATTTTTCCTTGCCATTATGCAGAAGGTTATATATAGTATTAGGTCTCTTGTAAGCAATTTTTTTTGTTTGTATACATTGCAATTTCTCTTTAAGTAGAGTCAAGGTGGTGGTTATATTCAACCACAGCCAGGGAGGGACCTATTGTTATTTATGTTGTGAGTGCAATTATCTGTATTGTTATTAGAGTTTAATTGTGAAGAATAGGCCCAAGCAATGCTATAAATTAATTTTTTATCATATCTGTGTCGTGTGGCTATGTGCTGTATACGCTGTAATTCAGAAAGTGTGTCTTTGAAATTAGAGTTGTGGGTGAACGCTCTTTTGGTTAGTGCCCTGAAGGCAGCTATTTTGTAAGAGAAGGGGTCTGCTGAACTGGCCAGGGTGAATAATGGAGTGTAGCATGACTTGTAATGGACCTTAGTTAATATCTTGCTTCCTTCCATTTGCAGATTGATGTCCAAGAAATTTGCATTGCTCATCTGGTCTAACTTGATACATAGGCCATACAGGTTATTGTTCATTACCCCTATGAAACGGTTAATATTGGGCTCAGTTTTTCATAAAATAAGGATGTCATCCACGTATCTTTTATATATAAGGATGTTGGGCATAAATAGGGGTATGATTCTTTTGTTCAAGTTGTCTAATCACTAATTTACATAAATCCCCAGATAGTGGGCTGACCATAAAAACACCATGTTTTTGAATGTAAGTCTTGTTATTGAAACAGAAAAAGGATGTGTAGCAAAGAATGTGGGCCAGTTCTAATATGTGTTTATGGTGTGCAGTAGTACCATGATAGTTTATTAGTAGATCCCTAATTGCACAAAAGCAAGGTTGGATTTTTATAGTTGGGTACAAATAGCCTGTGAGTGTCAGGAGAATTGATTACAGCCCTGTTTGTTTCCAACATTCTTGCAAGAGGAGTTTGTGTAAATTTTTTCACACGTACTTGTAGCTTGTTGACAAATCCTTCATTAATGGGTTTGCATTCTGTGTCATAGATGTAAGTTTGCATCATAGAAATGTATGTTTCCTTCTTCAATTAAACGAGAGTCTTGCTCTTATTCGTCTTGAGGATGACTATGTTATGATCACTTAACCAATTTTTGGACTTTGTTATTTGTTTCCAAAGTCTATCATTATGTTTTCACTTGTTATTTGCTTGTATCTTGAAGGCAGATTTTCATCTGAAATATTCTTTCTGGATGTCTGTCATTTCAGTGATGAGGTTTTATATGCCCAGCATTACTTTCTCAGTTCTTATGTAGGAATCGCCAGGAGCAAACATAGGACCATGCATTTGTACATTGCATGATGTCTATGGCAGCATTATGTCTGCATCCATGGCAACAAACACACAACGGTTTTGTAAGAAAACTTCTAAATGTTTAAATCGTATCACAAAACTGTTCTTAGAATCTCAGTAATTGTAAACCTGATGAAGACTGATATAAGGTCAAAAACGTTTGTTATTTTAATTAAATGTTTTTACTGGATAATCAAAGGTTTTAGTGAGTCATTTGTATATAATTTCTAGTATCCTTTATAAGAAGCTGTTGAATTTATCTCAAAATATTTGCTCGTTACAGATATAAATTTTAAACTTAATTTTTCATCATTACTCTAATTTTTGAATGATGTATGAGATTTTTTATAGAGCAAAGCAAAGACTAAATCAACAAAATATTTTTGTTCTAGTTAAAACAGTTACTCTGAATATGATAGGATCATCAAGACCTTGGTTTAGAAAAAGAGACAAAATGATGTTTTATGGTAGAAAAATGATAAGAAAGGTATGTAAAAAAAAATTTTTCCTAATTAGAAACATGAGTAATTAGTCAAAATCAAAGTTTAATTTTTTTTTTCCATTTTCTTGCTTGCTTTGTAATTTGCACTACAGAACATTAATATTAAAATACTGAAAATTCAAAAAGTAACAGTTGCTGATGGAGATGATAATTTACTATAATTACTTTCTTTTTAGTAATTTAGTATTTCTAAAGAATTGATGTTAAGTTGCAAAGTATTTAATAATTTATCAATAATTTCTGTAATTTATTGTCCATATAAAATATTTTTAATGGATAATCAATTTGTAAAAGTTACTTTTTGAAGTATAAGACTTTCTTTGTTGTCAAAGTTTGAATTTTTAAAAAAACATGCTTAAATTTTATATTCAAAAATTTCATTAATTATTATATAAGATAAGCTAAAAATAACAAATATATATATATATTTGTTAATTTTAAAGGTTAAATCACTTTCATACCAAGATGATGGAAAAGGGAAGAAGCGACAGATAGTTATTCGTCTTGCTAAAAGGTAATATTTTAATTTGGTTAAAAATTTCTTGAGTATTTCTAACCTAAATGTCTTTAATAAAAAAAATAATAAATTTTTTTGTTTTTCCATTGTTACATGAAAATATATTTTATTAATGAACTTCAGACTTCATATACCTTCGTTGTATGCAAGTCCAACTCTGAGTTAATTTTTTTCAGATGATTCTAAAATATTGTAATAATATTTTTATATTGTAATATTAAAATTAATAATTTAATTATTATTATTATTATTATTAAGATATTTTGCAAGATGGTGACTTTACTACTTATGCAAGTTTTGAAAAAAGTTTAGAAATATAAGTTGAATAAAATCAAATACAAGTATCCCTTGTACAACACTGTTTCACTCTAAGATGGTTTGAAAGTTGGGGATATTGCTGTACAACACAACTTCCAATTTTGCTCTAACACTGTTTTGGAAATCCTCCATACAAACTTTCACAATTTTTAAGTGTAAACTTTATTATTCAATATTTGTTTTTATTCAAGTAAGCACGTGTCATCTCAGATTTGCCCATGGATTTTAGAATATTTAACTTCTCAATTTGTTTTGTACTTTTCATTAGATTTACTTTAATGAAACTGATAAAATTTTTCTTTCGTGCCCTAGCTTTCCTATCTAACTTTCTAAAGTTTTATTATAAAAGAATAACATAATTTATTGTATTCTTGACTTTTCTCCCTAAGAAATTTTTATGAATTAAAATATTTTGAATTAATAATTATAATTAAAGAATTTTTTTATTTTTTAAAGTGTTAATTAATATTATTTATTTGTTTTTAGATTGCTGCGTCTAAAGAAAGAACAACAACCTCTAACTTTATTGGTAAAGGAACCATCACAATCATTTCTTGAGGAAGATATTGAACAATCTGAGTCAAAATTGCCACGTGAAGTTATGTATATGCTGAATAGTGTTAGGTAGATATAAATTTCTTTTGTTTAATTCTAATAAATTAATAAAAACTTTACTGTATGGAAGAGATCATATAACATACAAATCAGTTTAAATAACAAGGTATCTTAATAAGAAATGACTATATTATACAAAGTAAATATTTTAGTTTAAGCTTAAAATATTTTAAACATCAATAGACATGATTTCATTTTCTTAAAAACAAATAATAAAATTTTATATTACTCCTATTGCTTTCAATTCTTAACCTTCAATTCTTTTGGAGATCTAAAACCTAATTAGTGCTTGAAATCACATCTATAATAAATGTTTTAAAATATTCTGCAGCATATGAATGTAACAAATTTTTTTTTCCTTCCAAAAATAAATTTTTGAGACAATACAAACACAATGTTTGAGTCCTTTTTCCTATTTATATCCTTTTATTCCAATCCAGGAACCACAAACAGCGAGCAAATTGAAATAAAACCTTCTAAAAATAACAGACTAAATACTATTAAATGATTTACACACAAATGTGATCTTGACGTTGACCTGTTTTCATAGGCTATGATGTCTACAATAATTAAAAATCATTAAAAATCCTTCACGACAGCATCCATGTTATATAATCGCATTTAAGCTGAGAGTCCTCTGGTGGATTTTCAGGCAGTCAATGATAAATTATTTGAATAATTGTTCATATTAGCCCAGGATTATTTTGGTTACATTCCAAAAAAATTCCTTTTTGGAATGTAACTAAAATAATCCTGGGTTGATATGTAGAATGTAACAAAAGTTCTAATTTAAAAAAAAAAAAATGCAAATGTTAGATGAATTAGAAAATTTCTGGGACTTATTAGATGGAAACATGAATACTTTTCTGTAAACGTTTCTACATATTCATAGTGTATTATACTTTTTCTACATAAGTTTTTAGATGTATTTAAATATAAAATATAAGTATAGGGTGTCCCAATAGCATTGCTGGACCTAATTGTGGAATAAAATGCGTCATTTATTGAACAACTAAATATTTTTATTTCAATATAAATTAACATTACACTCCAGTACTAAGCCATTTTCTTGTGGAAGACAGTATCTGCCAAATGTTCCTTACAACTCTGGTAACACACGTGCACTCTTCACAAAATTGCTTAACGCGTTTAGTTCCCAGCAGTTTTTGATATAAATGTAATTAAACATAAAAAATACTTAAAACTGAAAAAAAAAACGAAAGAAATGCGTTAATTTTGAAGAAAAAGCTTCAAATTTTATTTTCCTTTGTCTGGCCTTTCTGTGAAATTTAACACTGATGAGTCATTGTTTACACATCTGGATGACCTTGAACACAGCTGGAGTTGGATTTCCCGGGGCATTCTCATAAACGCCTCGGGAGGACAAGGGTTTAAAGTAGGGTGAGGGTGAATTGGCCGTATATTTTTAAATATTTTTAAAAAATTACAATTTTAATTGCAATTTTTGACCCCCCCTAATTATTTAAATTTATATATAATAATATCTATTAATTAAAAAAATTAAAAAACTATCGGAGGTCGTTTTTGACATCAGAAACTAGCTTTAAATAACTTTACCGAAGAAAAATTCGTGCACTACAACTCAGGAACCATGAAATAAATTTGATAAAAAACTCCCATTAAAAAACAATTAAGCCTTAATCGAGCCTTATCAAAGGCTAATTAAAAGCGCGATAAAATTTTTTTGCGCGGTCAAAAAATTTTGAAAAAATTTGGGGACCTAAAAAACATTCCAAAAATTAAAAAAAAAAAAAATTTTCAAAAATTGGCCTTAAGGACCACGTTTTATGTAAGGCTATATAGCCTGCCCGAGTTAACTCGGGCGAAGAACTAAAGGGGTTAAGACATTATTGCATAATTCTGTCTCAATATCACCAATAAAATGTTGAACCTGTCTTGGGGTCAGCAATTGTTTCTGGGTTATTAGCAAACACAAGGTTTGGCAAACTTCCACAGTTGCAGGGTGACAAATCACCAATATTGATCAGAACTAGTAGCCAGTTAAGGTCAATAATGCTTGAGACGACATAGCCTGGAAATCAGTTTTGGAAACACATGTCCTAATTTCTGATAAACAATGATTATTTCAAGGCCACAACAATGTGAAATGCCAGTGGCATGCAATTTACATCTGACACTGTTAATGGGACATCTTTTACAATCAAATCTGCAATGACATATTCTGTATTTATTTTGGTTTAAAATATTGAGTAAATTATATCTTTTAATTATCCATACATTAGTAACTTTAATACAAATTATATATACATTAAATTTTCTAGAATATTTGGATTTTATGAAAAGCCTTTATTTTTGGAATTATGTAAAACACTTCAAAATATTCAAGTATATGCAGGACAGATGATGTTTTCTATTGGAGATCCAGATGATAGTATATATGTTGTCCAAAGTGGTCGTTTAATTAACAGTATTCATAACAGAATCTGTAAGTATTCAGTAATTTATATTGTTTTTAGTGAACTTTAGATAAGTCATAATTAGCATCTAACTTTAAGGTTTTTTAACTTTTAGGTTGAAAATAATTACATAATTATCAACCTAATTATTATAACTTAACTTATTAGCTTGATAATTGTTATATAAAACAATATTTTATAATTTTAATGAATATCAAATTATAATTGATATTTTATAAAACTTGTGCTTACTCTCTCTAATGTAATAAAATTTATAAATAATTTGTAAATTCTTAATGCAGAAAATTATTATTAGAATTAAATAATGTTTTTTCTAATAATAAACCCTTTTCGTGCTCAATGGACAGAAAGAGAAACAAAATTGGGCTTAGTTATGCAAAAGGCTACCAACTGTCAAATGTACAAAAATGGGTTGAAGTGTGTGAATTCAATATTGTTTAATCTTCATTTTACAGAAATAATCAAACACAACACAGCTACTGTTAATATTTGTAAAGTTCAATGACTAATCCAGTCTATATTTTGTGTGAAAATGAAAAACTCTAATTGTAATATACTCAGTTTAATTAAATTAATTATGTATGTAGAAGGTAGGTAGCTTTTTGGTCCAATTGTTAATGAAATAAGTTTATTAACTTATAATTTCATTAACAATATCTTAGCTTTACTTTGTGTAAACGATTGTTTTAGTTTAAATAGTACAGAACATGTTAGTCTGAAAATTTTGTGAGTCAGTGTAAATGTTTGTCTGACTGTTTGTAAATGTGAGTCAACTTAAGTAATCCACAAGTCACATCAGTCATTTGTATACACATTTATTGTGTACTTTGTACAACATTACAAGTTGTAATACATTACAGATATTACATCTGTTAAAAATGCAGCACTGGTATGTACCAGTACTTGTAAATAAGACTTGGTGGCCAGATTTTTTTGTTGTTCCAGGTCCAAAAATATTTTCTTTTGAACCTATTTTGCACTAAATTTTGGAAAATTTTTGGCTAATTCTCAAATTTACGTTAATATTTTGCAATTTTAGCCCCTTTTTTTTGAAAAAGTGAGAATTTGCTTAGAATTCGCACACAATTGCTCCAGACATAAAAAAAATATGCATATGCATAAGCTTGTCATTTTTTCCTAGAATTTAGAAATCAAGGCATCTATATGCCCATCTGGTAGCCTTGATGAGACTTGTGCCCTTCAAGCCTGTCTACCTATTGAGATTGACTTTGAAGAGCTAATCTGGTAAGCCTATACTTGTGTAAGTCACACACACATCAATGTTTCCTATCTTATCTATGCTGACTGATCATTACAGATGAAATATGCATATAATGTGAAAAATTGTGGCGATATAGCCTTAGTAAATCATTTACCATTGTTGCTAATATTGCTAAACATTTATATTTAGTCAAAATATTTCTTCCTTTATCTGAATTTGGTGGTTACTTTTTCATTAAATCATTGTATGTAATCATTCAGATATTTAATATAAAGACATCATTTAGGGTAATCAGCTTATGTGATTAAATTCTACATTTGTTTGTATGTTGGGTTTCTGGGTGAAGAGGATGGTGGGGATCACTAAAACAACAATAAAATGC